ACGTCTGTTCCTGAATTACTAATTGAGAAACAGTAATCTGCTTTTTTATACTGTTTTCATTAGCATGCGTTCATTCTGGTTTGCTCTGAAGGCTAACTCAATCTAATAACTGCACCTTTCTTTGTCAAGGTTAGTTTCTGGGAGAATTAATATTCAGTTTGTGGTCATGTTATTTAATAGTGACGCTTTTCTTAGTGATAGAAAAGGGTGTCCAGCTTCATACATTCATTAATTTAACCATACTGACTGGATTCTCATGAAAAGGTGAGTCAAGAATAGCACAAAAGGTTGCTAGTATGATTCCCCATTATCAGCATATGAAATAAACCTTTTGGATAAGATGTAATTATTCATGTCAATGACTGACTCTTTTTATCCATATTTGATTATTAGATGTCTTTATACCTTTGTAAGGAGTCTTTTTTAATCACATGATGACCGATATCCATCAATAACCACAGTCGAAGGCTTTATAGACAGTACGCCACAAGCTCAACACATGTTGCATAGAAAAAATTTGAGATACTGCCTTAACCAAAAAGGTTTTATTACTTTCTGACTTCCTTTTTCTTAAGAATGAGTGACGTGCTTAAAAACAAAAATCAGTTCATGGCTTATGCCACAAAGCCGTCTCCCTGTTTCTCTTAAACCTGAACTTGATCTCTTGTTGGGTATATTCACATCCATCGTCCTGCATCTTAGAAGATTCTAACATTTCACTATTTATATTTTTGTTAGTACAGTAAAATGTCTCACTGATAAACCCAAATTCTGAAGCCATTCAATTTGTGTTGTTTATTTAGAACTGAGTAATATGCGTAGTATGACTAATTTGTTAGTTAGATTAAAAAGATTAAACGCAATTGCATTATTCTAAAGATGTGGGAATGTCCAATGAATGAATAGATGGATGTGATTAAGGACACACCTTAACACAGACAAAGTGTGTAACTGGGGGTGTCACCGTAGACTGTTATTAAGCACCATGTCACTTTATGACTGATACTGTCTTAATACATGTAATACACTCATTTGTACATCTGATCTGAAATGTCATTCTTTAAACCTGGAGACGATTTCAGCAGAAGGAAGCAGGGAACAACAATCCAAAAATTCTTAAGAATAGAAAAAATCAAGATATCTCATATTAATGCTGGACTGTAAAAGTCTATTTTGATTTCTTCAAGTGTTGTGTGGAAATCACTTAGATTCAAAGTAAAGCCCCATGGGTTTGGCTGAACAGAGATTAACAGCTGACAGCATTCAGTCCAACTGACTTTTAAACTGAGCACAATGACACTGTCAGACTCCACAAAGCAAACCTGTGAGTACTTCTGGTAATCCATCCTGTTTGTTTTTGTTTATTGCAGATTGTACAATTATGTAAGAAAGACTCCAAAAAGAGAGAGAGAAACAACTAAGCTTCATCTATTAGCAGTCCAGAGGATGGCTTTGCTGTGTTTTCCACTTCCACAACTGGCTAATCGCTGAATTACACGGTTATGTAATGTCCGGATGCGTACTCACAAGGTCTGTGTGACAAAAACAATCTCATGCCCTCCTCAGATAGGACTGAGGAGATGGGAAACAGAACATGAGTTAACTCACATGTGGGGTAAAAAAACCTCATGGCACAAAGAGGCTGATAACGCGTTAAAAGATTATGAATCCATTCATGTAAACACCATGCACGTAGAACTAAGATTACACATCTTGTTAACCGCTTCACAGCGTCTCAAAGGCTGTGGATTTGATTGGTTTGAAACTTTTGTGGTTGAAAACGAGTTGCGGTCACTCCTTTTGAATTGTCTAAGGCCTGTTTTTATTAGCCAAACAGTGCATTAACGACTCTCCTCGTAAATCTGGATGTGACCCCGAATAAAGACTATAGCATGTCGAAACCTCAGCCCCAACACGCCTTCTGTACCTATTGGATCTGCTTCAGCAGAAAGCCGTGCGTGGGCTTTCGCTGGCCCAGCCAATGTGTTTGTGTGGCGGGTTCTATTTATTTACACTGGTCTGGGGGTGAAGACTACCTGGCTGCTTTACAGCATGTTACATTACAACGTGCTGGGTCCACTTTCAGTGTACCACCTTGAAAACAACACTGGCCTTGTACTGTCTGTATTTTTGGGCCGGGGAATGGGGAGGGGGGGTTTGTCCAGCGGTCATTTTCAGCTGCTCAACGTGGAAGAACTCTGGCCTTTAGCAAAACCTTGTGGGGTTTGAGAGTGCACGGCGAACAAACACACTGACCAAACATCTTTTAGAACTTGCTAAAAAAAGGGCTTCCCCAGAGAAAAGCGCACAAGGGGTTGGTTCAGTTCATCTTAACCAGCTCGAAGGTGAAATAATCAAACATGTTGGCCAACCTGTTGCATGGTTTTAGGCTTTCTGGGTTGCGTTTTCACAGAAACACACTTATGCTTGTTAGTTTTGACCTGGGCCATTTATTTCCAAGTGTCTGACTGCTAATAAAAGGGAGTATTAAAAAAGCTCAATTCCCTTTCCAAGAACGCTTCACAGCCTTAAGTTCTATCCTGTTTCAGCCCCATTAGCTGCCCCAGAGTTCAGAATATGCCCAGCTCACTGACCAAACCCAGAGTTTAGGCCTCCCATAGTTTCAGGATCATGGGCTGCACTTTTAAAAAATAAGCATATTCATCATTTTTCACTTCCTCATCGGCTTGCAGTGTGTATGAAAAATCTCAGTTCAGTTGGCACATAGATTATACATCACATTATGTAACCTTGTAAAAAATGGTTTGCTTTGAGAACAAAGAGCTTCCAAACCTGGCAACTTCAGGCACATTTCTGTCCATTTGATTGCCAAAACTTCCCACTTTTTGTATGAACACATGTCAAATTTATGAGGGACCCGCCATCCTTTGGGAGTTGCCTTGTTTAAAGACACTACTAAGATACAAGACTAATTAGCATGATTGATTTGCTTTTAAATTCTTGTAAAATGTATTTTCTTCCTAGATCCCTTAAAAAGCAAAGGCAGGCCGGTCTAATGCTGACATTATTAAAAAATACAGGGAAAA